GAGCATAAAAAACTTAAATTTGGTGTAAAATGTATTTTTATATCTAATTTCTTTTTATCTTTTGAAAAATTTTACTGGTTCTACTTATTTTTCTAAAAAACCGTTTTTTACCCAAAAATTATAAAAATTATCCTCTTGCTTTCAGCACAATATATTAAGGCTCAGATTTAAATATTTGTATATATTTCTAAGTTATAGCTATAAAATAAAATATTAAAGGTTTATAGATTAACTAGGAGTCACGCAATAACGATTGTATAATTTATATTAGTGATCTGCATCGGGCCTAATTTTTCAAGTCCGGCCCGAAATTTTTTTAAAAAAGTATTGCCGGCCCGGCCCGAATCCGAAATTTTTTTAAAAAAGTTTTGCAAGTCAGACCCAAATCGGGAATTTTTTAAAAATATTTACCTGCCCGACCCGGCCCGAATTTATATAAATATAGAAATTAATTTTTATTATTACACAAAATAAAAGATATATGTTATATGGCGTCTAGTTTCTATAAATAAAATAAAATATTTTTATTTTACATAAAAAAATTAAACATAAAATTGATAAATTTATATATATTTTAAAAAATTTCCAAGGCCCGACCCGATCCGGCCTAAATTTTTTTTAATAAAAGGCCAGATCCAACCCTAACCCGATTTTTTAAAAAAATAGGCCCGGCCCGGGCCAATAATATATATCACTTTGGGGTAGAGTTGCTATGGGTAAAACAGTTAAAATGTTGCATCTGATTTAAGCTGTAAAAAGATAATTTTTAAATATTAACGTCTTCATCATTTTCTTTTGAGCAAAAAGGAACATTAATAATTAGTTTCTGTTATTTAGAATAAAATTTTATGAATAGTCACAAAGGGGGAGATAATTGAAATGCACGATGTGCCTAAAATGGGTATATTCAAAATGTACAATGTTTGATATAATATTTTACATTCCGGTATTGTATTGATTAGTTTATACAAATAGTGATGAATAGCTGTCAAAATTGCAATATTTTGTTCAATTAAGCAATATGGTTATGTTCAATTTTTTTTACCCACTTTACCCCTATGCTTAGCCACACCTGGATATGGGGTAAAATGAGGAATGACACACTTCACATAATTAATTCCAGCGCCTAAAGTATTATAGGTAGATAGCTACACTTTTTTAAATTTTGTAGATGAGGGATTTCACTATTTATAATATATAATTTGTTGGGTTTGTTAATGTATCAAAATATTATGATAAAAATGCCCAATCGTTTTATAACTGTCATAGTTAATGGGTAGATATATATCGGTTATGATATGAAATTCGGAATCTCTCAGTTTTAAATCATTTATTAAGGGGCATCCTTAAATCTGAAAAATTAATTTTGACCCGAAATATATTTTGGCATCTGCAAAGTCCTTACCTTACAACTTTTATAAATTTTTGAGCTTTTGTGTATATAATTAATTTAAATTAAGAGTATAGTTCAAAAGAGGAGGCAAAATGTTTAAAATTCAAAGAGTTGATGCTTTATTATATTTCTGGTCAAATCAGCTTTTCAATTTTAAAATCGCTCTCGATAAATGATTTTAAATTGAGAAATTTTGAATTTCCATAGATTCTACATCCAACTAGAACTATTATAAACACTTTGTTGTGGGCTCGACGGGTTGTACATATAGATAAGTATAACCCTTGTCGGAACCGTTTCTAATTTTCAAAAGGGATTTCAGCTCTCCCCGGCACAAAAATTATCTATCCAGGTTTACGAATACGAATTAAAAATTCTGAAGTCCTTATCGAATAGAATCGGATTTAACATATATTCGATCTAATTATTTGAGATTATTCAAAAATATTTTAAATTATATGACATCAATTATTCGTAAGTATTAAATTATTCGTAAACATTGAAATTATTTGTAAATTGAAAATATTTGTAAATATTAGAAATTATTTGTAAGTATTCAACATATTCCTTGTGAAACTTTTATTTAAAAAAAAAAATTTAAATAAACCTTTATCTTTTTAAAATATTTTAATCTGATAAATGGTTTTATTATTTTTACTAATAAATATATTTGATTCATAGTTTTATTTTTTCTAGTTCAAGCGGATTTAATCCAATAAAACTATATTTGAGATTATATACGTTTATATTAGAGCCTTGCATAGTACCTATTTTAACTTTCGACAATCCGATATAAAATATTATTATCAAGAATTTATTTCCATTCTATTTGATCCAAAATTTATTTTATTCTGGTGCCTTTTAAAAATATGAATTAAGTTTTAAAATCAAGGTTCGAATCCGACCAAGGCAGAGAGAATATCTATCCGATCGGATCAGTGTGCACGGGCTCATATTTAGTAATTTAATATCCATTCTTCCTATATAAAAAATAGGTATATGTCGTTAAGAAGAGATAAACGCGCGCTCATATTCTAGGATACCTAATCTTTACTTTTAGCTTTTTCTTTTTTCTAAAATCTTAAGAACTAAAATAAACACACCAGTGGAGTTAATTTAACAAGGATATTCCTGATGAAAAAATATTATATTTAAAAGTAGAGATCTGCAAAAGTAGCCCGGCCCAACCCGAACTAATATTTTTTAAGAAAATTTGGGCCTAATCGGGTCGGGCCTTATAAATTTTTTAAAATATATCTAAATTTATCAATTTTATGTTGAATTTTTTATGTATGTGATTTTATTTATAGAAAAAATAGACGCCAAATAACATGTATCGTTTATTTTGAGTAATTATAAAAATTAATTTCTATATTTAAATGAATTCGGGCCGGGCCGGCATTAAGGTTCTGCGGCCCGGGTAAAACTTTATAAAAAAATTACGGGTCAGGCCGGGCTTGAATAATCAGGCCCGCGCCCGATGTAGATCACTATTTAAAAGCAACATAAATAAAAATAAAGAAACTAAAATAATAAAAAATTTAAGTATAACAATTTCATAGATTTCAGAATTCATCCAAAATTCCAATAAGAACATTTAATATTTTATCCCCTTTTTTATTTTTTTGACAATTTTTTGAGAATTTCAAGTTCAATGGTGATTAGGTTTTTTGTGTGTGTATTTATTTGTTATTTCTTTTATAATAAATTCAACTTTATCTCTTTCTCTACTTATCCCCTTCTTATATTTCCCTTCTCAAATTTTAAAAAAAATAATATATAATAATAATTTCGACTCATAACAATGTCAACTGTGAAAACACTTTGGTCCCCCCCCCCCCTTTATATGTTTGTGTGTGTAATGTTTGTGTATGCGTTTTCCATATTATCGATTATTTTTTTATTTAGCACTTTACGCTTTTTTTTTAAATTTTAATTCTTTCTTTTACTAAAAAAAGAAAGAAATAAATAGTTGTTTTGTGCTATATAATTTTATGTGTTTTTAAATTTAAAAAAAAACAACCCAATACAGGATGTTTATAAAAATAAAATAATCATAATTAATATAAAAACGTCTAAGTATAAGATACAGTATTTTATACAGAACATAACAGTTACCCGTAGAAGTCGAATTTCATGTACTACTCTCTCATTACATTTTTTAATCCGGCCAAGAACTTTTGTTGATATCCTTTTTTTGCATGCGACTTAAGGTTGAGCAGTATTTACAACTTCTAATACCATATATTAAATAACAGTTTAAAAAAAAAGAATGCCTTAAAGGAGGGAAAACGAATATAACTAGCTGAAACGCCATATTATAATACAATATACCAAAATTATATTTTTAAAAATATAATCGAACCAAAGTTCTTAAAAGAGGAAGAATTTATAAATATCCTATAAAATTATTAAAATCCAACAAAAGTTTCCCCTCTCTTTACAAAAATCCTGAATACCTCAGTGTTATGACATTATATAATAAGAGATCACTTAGTGTCTGCCTCAGTAATACACTGCGGCTCAATATTTAATTTTATATTGGGTCAATATAATGATAACCCCAGGTTTCGATTAAAATCTTTCCATAATATCCCATTTTAAACAGCTTTTACTTAATTTTGCCTATCTTTTCCACTTCTAATTAAATATACTCCTCATTATTTATAAGTATGTTAATGGAAAGAATTATAATTCGTCATTTCATATATTATTTTTTTTGGTAAAAACAAAACAATAATAAATACAATGTACATAATTTGGAGACACACAAAAAAATATAATATATCTTGACTTTGAAAAAATTTATTTATTTTTTTTTAAGCGACACCCAAAAAAACTTTCACCAAAAATAAAAACAAGAAAAACTCAAATCGATATTTATATTTTTTTACCCCTATAATAAGATATTATAATTAAACTACATATAGTTTTAGTATTAGATTTTATATATTTACTATTTTGTTTATAAATTTTTTTTTTATAAAAAATAAAACTTAATTTTCTCCTTTTTAAATTTTTTAAAAAGAAGAAAAATAAATTTATTCAAATTTCACAAATCTCCCCAAAACTATTAAAGAAATGTAAAAAAAAGTAATAAATTTCAAAATATACAAAAAATGACTATTTATTAGCCCGGGGATTATTTCAAATTAATTTAATTTTATTTGTAAATTCTAAGTTTTACTTCCTCTACGTCCAACCTGATTTCTTCTTTAAACTTTATTATTGGTACAATATTAGGATGATGCTGTCTTAAGTTGGTTGTAGGACAGTTGTATCTTCACAATATAGCTTATGCAAGGTAAAATAAAAATAATAATCAATTTTGGACATAGGATTATAAAAAAATTAAAAGTTATCCTTTGTTCAGCCTTAATATCTATTCCTCATTTTTAAATTTATTATAAAAAGTTTTTGATCTATGATATTATACTAAATTTATATATTAAAAATTGTTTGATTATAGATCGTTCATCGATAATAACTCATTACAAAAAACTTATCTCTATGCTCGGCGTGATCTCTTTTACTAATATTACTTTAAAATTAATTTAAAAACGAATTTCTAAGGAGAAAATAACTAAATCAATATTATTATTCATGGATGGAAAGTGTAACAACGAACAAAATTAAGGAAATTAATTCGCCCATTACTGAGTTCCTTATTAATAATCTCCCATCTGATCCTAAACCTGAAGAATCTACTGAATCTGTCATGATAAAACTTCTGGTTAATCACCCAATTTCCACAGCCAATAGCATACATCGTCAATCATATTCGCCTTTAAATGACGATAATGAAATATTGAAAAAGGTTGAAAGTTATAACGATTTCGAATATACGGACGAGTATAAGTCAAATGTAGATAACAAAGAACCAAGAAACAATAAATTACTGTTAGACACTAAGATTTCATCCCAAATTAAACTTACTACCTTATCAACTTCGTCCAACAATAAGCAACAAGTCAGTTTCGAATCGGGAGAAAATTCTTCTGCTATTACCTTACTTCACACCGACGAAACATACGTAGTCGACTCCGAAAACGTTTTCAATTGCCTTATGGATAATGCGATAAACGAAGTAGATAAATCAGTATTAGTCGGAACCGATAATGGCAAAATAAAAAATGTGACGGCTATCTCTTCTAGACGCAAAAGAAAATGCCTTAAACCCTACAAAATGTATCCGATATCAGCGGAAGAAACTGCCTCTAAAAATACTTTCGAAGTGTCTCCAAAAAGCTCACCAATTAATATCATTCGGGAGGTTAATAACGATGAGTCTTACCTGAGCGAAACCACTTTGGACGAAGATAAAAGTGTTCTGGAAAATGGCCAAATTTTTCTCAAGTATATATAATGTTAAATAAATTTTAATAATCATATTTCATATTTATTGCCGTTGTCAGGCATGTAATCAATCCTTCCCCCCATCACAAATTTGTCTGTTCTCGTAAATGTCATTTTATGCTTATAAAGATTTTCCCTTTACACTCCTCTCTCCCACCCCCCCCCCCCCCCCCCCCCCAAAAAAAAGAAAAAATTAGTTAATAACTTTTTAAAATAGCGACTATAATTCATAATTTTTGAAAAACATTTTAATTAAAAAAAAGTGAAATCCCAAAATTATTTTTATAAAAATATATAGCAAAAGGTCTACATTAAACCTAAAGATCTCCATTAAAATTTATGGGCAAAACATTTACCATAATTCTTATTGACCTCCCCCTTAGCAGAATCCTGGATACCCCTATGATCATTATTAATACAATTATTTATTAATATTATTTATTATTATTATATTATACTTAAAAATAAAATCTTTCAAAATAAACACAATGTGTTTAAAAATAAACTGAAAAGCATGTAATTGACGTAATTATATAAATTTAGTAAGTTTATAAGATTTGAATGAGTTTAGGATTTATTAATAGATCTGTAATCATTATAAAAAACATCTTTCTAAATTTATATGTTATCTTTAATTTTGTTTTATTGGTTATCCATCTCATAAAATAGAAATCGGAAAAATTATGAACGTTGACGGATAAAGTAATCTTGAAAATCAGAGTTGTTAAAGTGGCGCTCTATCTTTTTTGGTAGCGATAGCTAATATCGCGCTACTTTTTTTCCAATTATTAATTTTTTTAGCGCCCTACTTTTTAAATATAATGAATGTAACTATAAACCATGAAATTCAAATATAATATCATAATTAATTATAATTTTATGATTTATTATTTAATTTTGAAATATTTTCAATTTGTATTATATCCCTAAATCATCTATTGCAAATTTTTTAAAATGTCATCGTAAATGGATATCTAAATCGATGTAAGTAAGTCATTTAACCATACTCTGGTTTTTTTTGATTTTGTATTCTAATAATGTGACTATCTAATGACCAAAAGAGCAAAAACTCTCCCAATATCTTACAAATTGTCGATATTTAAAAGATAGGTATTCTACACATGCTTAAAAACATTTCCAGGAAAATTATCTTATTAAAATTTTTAAAAAACGGGCTAAATAAATAATTTAAAGTTGGTATCATTTGTTGAAAGTGTTTTCACTATCTCAATAGTAATCAATTTGTTTAAATTTCTATTTACATCATTCCAGTTTTTTTTAAAAAAAATCAGTGTATTAAATCAATATCATTAATAAAATTTGATTTATTAAATTTGATCAAAATACTTAATATAAGGAAAGATAAAGACTTAGATTAGAATTAAATAATTTTTATATGAAAAATATTAAATTTCATTACTTATTAGATAAGAAAAAAAATACTTGACTTATTTTTTCATAAGTTCAATTTTTGACATAATTAATTGTCAATAGTATAATTCTAATCTCAATGTAGTTAAAAATTTAATTATATTGATTAATTTGTAAAATTCGGGCTGTTCCTTCTAAACAAAAGGTTCTGGTTCAGGGAAATATCTCTGTGTCCAGTACTGGTTTAAGGTTTGCAGTCCAAAAAAATAAGGTCTTATAAAATTTTGTAAAAATAACACATCAGTTTAAAATTTATTTTACTATATTTAGCATTTGCCATAAAAATAATTTTATCATTGTAATTAGAATAATGTAAAACAATTTAAAAAATAATATTCTATTTTTTGAAAAATTTTATAAGAGAATTACCATGATATCTTCCAAAATCTAGATGTTAAAATAAAAGAAAGTTTTTTATGACTAACTTAGACAGTGCATTGCAACTTTTCATGTACTCGATATTGGTATTCGAATTTAATTGTTTAAAAGAAAATTAGTTTTCCTAAACGATTCATAAGTTTGGAATACACACCATATGATGTAAATGTTCTCTACTGTAGCTGTTGATTGTTTTACTATGAATTAAATGGTCCTGTTTCATCCATTTTTTTAAAATTATTTCAGGAAAACATAATTTTATTAAATGGGTTAGATATAGCTTGGAAATTTACAGTGATTTATTTAGGATATAGAATTATCACGTTCAATTGCCACTTCGGTTTTATTGTTTGTTAAAAAATTTGATATTTAGGAGCTAGAAGATAGGATAAGTATGTCGGTGGAATTATTATAATAATGTTTATTTTCAGAATGGTGGGTTATAAAAACTATCATATAATAATAATTAAATAATTAATGAATCTAATTTAAATATAATTAATCTTTTTTAAAATTTTGTCAAATAATCAAACATTTTAAAAATAATTAGATAGCTTATTTGTTTCATCCTCAGAAAAAAGTTAATTAAGGATATTTATAATAATATAATTTAAGAACCAGCCTCTGGGACATACTAAACAATGCCAGAATACTAATAATCAAGATTATTTTAAATTAAGGGTATTAATGAATATTTTAAATTTGGCTAATGCATCAGGACACCCAATTAGGAAATAAGGGTAAAAATTAAAAATAATAAAGTCAAAAAAATAAATTTTAAATTTGATTTGACAGTTTTATTTGAGGATATTCATAATAGTCTTCGTTTTAGAAAATGAACGATATTATTTCCGACTCACCAATATCTATCTACTAGTTAAATTTTTTAAAACAGTTATCACATGTTACCGAATTTTTGATTGACTCGGCTTTTCATTAGACAAAATATCAAATCAGCTCATGATAAATCAATATATATATTTTCAATAATTTCCTGACCGGATCCTCGAAGTACTAACTTTTCTTACAATTAAATATACTAAGGTAAAAATTATTATGTATGATATTTTTCTATCTAAATCTGTAACTTCTTTAATTGAAATATTAGTGCTGGTGAACTATTTAAATCAAGCGATTTAAATCAAAAGAAAATCAAAAGAATCACGATTTATATAAAAAAATCGCGATTTAAATTTTAAAAAATCATAAATTTTGCCAAACCTATTTTTTTTTACATAATAATAATGATTTTGCCCAAAATGTATTCCAGTATTCAAATTTCTGACAATTTGTTCATGAACATTTAAGTCATCTTAATTGACTAAAATAATAATCAGTCAATGCGCATATTGACTGATTATGAGATTTGACTGTAACACATATTATTAAAGAATAGGACCAGAAGCAAAATCAATAGCAAAACAATCATAACAAAAATCAATTTAAAGTTATTTATGGTTGATAAATTTTACTTCTATAGCTCCAAAAAATAGAATCGGATTATGAGATATTCAATTTCAATTTGAGATTTAGAAATTGAATAATCTGTTATTTGTAGATTTCAAATCAAATACGAATAATGAATAATTCCGATAGCATATACTCGGAAAATATCGTAAGATTTTTGTTTTTTTGGTTTTAAAAAAATAATATGTTTTTGGTTCAAGTCCTTTACTTGTGTAGAAAATCACCTCAAAATTTTTGTTTTTTGGGTTTAAATAAAAGCAAGTCATTTTGTAAATAATAAATTTATCAAATAAGCACAAAATTTGGTATCATAAAAATTAATGCTGTTGAGTAACATCTGAAAGTAACGTTGTTATAACGGCGCTACCTTTTTTAAAGAAAAGGAACGCCATTCATTTCTTCGCTTCTTTTTTTTTGAGTAACGGTAATACAAAACGTTACTATAAATTTTTTCTTTAAAATATAGAAAAAATATTTCCTTATATATTATATATTATATTTTTATAAGTTTTATAAATGATTTAAGCCGATTTTTTAATTCAGATGAACCACCAAAGTTCTTCATTTTTATTTTATTTATTATATTTTTGATGTTGAATTTTTTACAGCCAAGATTGTTAATCTAATTAATCGAAATCAAAGTATGTTTATATATATTCTATAATATTATAATTTCATTTGTACTTATTTCTTTTGTAATGAAGATGATTTCACTCTGCCCTGGCTCCAGTATGAAACATTTTTTACACAAATGAAGAAAATAAAGGGAACTAAGAGAACTAAGTCTACACTTTGTAATTGTAGATTGTACCTTAAGTCAAATATTATAACCAGGATGTTCAACAACTGAAATCTAAAAAATATATATGAATATAAAAATATGGATTCAGAAAAAGGATTTTTTTTTAATGAGGATCTGTATGGAATAGTTTTGAAGATGATCTAATAAGACTTTTTGGAAATAAATTTCCCCAATTAAAATTTTTATTTATTAAATATAATAATCCAGAATCGGTTCTAAATTGCTATAAAAAAATGAAAAATAAATTGTGAATCTCTATTATATCTCCTAGAAAATTTTAAAAGTAATATTGAAAATAATATTAATAGATGCTAGGGAGGCTATTTTGAGTTTTTAAAAAAAATCCCTAGAAATGGAGGAAATATTATCAAATTCTCAGAAGGATGAATTTCTTTCCGGAATCTTAATGATATTTCCCCCATTTTTAGCGATTTTGCCAAAAACTCAATTTTAATATACAATTGTTTATTTCCTTGTAATATTATTTTCAATGTTACTTTTAAAGATATGAGCGCAATTCCCATATTGTTTTTAGCAATTTTTTTTGGCTATAAAGAACAGGATCTTCCCATCCTCTATACCAGACGTGTTTAGCACAGCGAAAGCGTTAAGCTTACCTGATAAAATCATTTGTTGTCAAAAATAAATAAAAAATTATTATCTTTTAATTTATCTATAATGAAAAAAGATAATTTTTATAAAATATATATTAATATTTAATATTTATTGAGTAACGCGTTACTTGTTTTGATAGGCTAATAACGCTTTACCTTTTTCACAAGATAATGAGTAAAGTAACGAGTTCCTTTTTTTAAACATAACGAGTAGTGAGCTTTCCTTTCTTTTGAACCTTTACAACACTAATAAAATATTTATCAGCCATTATTATAAAATAATTTAAAAAAATTTTTTTCCCCTTTTG